TAACTAGTGTTAATGTATTATTGTTTATTAATTATCCTTTAAAACAATATTTTTTCTCTAATTATAAAGCACAGCAAGCTTTTAAAAATACTTAGTTGCCTTCATCATCATTAACAATTATTTGAGTTATTTTTATACAGTACTGTATGACTGCTAAAATTATTAGTGTTTCAAATAAGGCACTAAATGAGGGCTAAATACTGTTCAGGGCAAAATTAAGACGTTTTCAAATAAGGCATTGAACTATTTGATACCATCACTGTTCTGATGAAGTAATAATTAATAACATGCTCCGTGCACTTTTTATGTGCCAGGCCCTATCCTCAGAGCTGTTCATGGACTAACTTATTTACTCACACAGCCCTGGTAGGTAGGGCTTTTTACAGATGAGGAAGGACCACAGGGGACACACTTCCTAGTCATTTTTTAGGAAGGTGGAATCACCCTCAGGTTACTCTGTTATTTTAACTAAGTCTAGTCAGAAAGAACATGTGAAGTTTAGTTGACTAATAAGCACATAATACTCTCCAAAGAAAAGGCTGCGTTTTTATACCTATTGGAAAGTACATTTTTCATTACTTTATAATTTCATTACTGGTTATACTGGTTTTTAACTATTGTAACACATCTGATTATATTTATTTCCAATTGGTTTAGAAATTAATCTGTTATTCTTCATTTAAAAAAAATTATGATCTTACAAAGTTCAAATGAGGAAAACAGTTTTATTATTTAGAGATGCACACATAAGTGGTAAAAATAAACAAAAGCAAGGAAGTGACCATCACACAAACCAGGATCGGTGTTTCTCAGTAAGGAAGAACGCTGGACTGGGAAGGGGCGTGTGGGGAAATGTCTAGGGGCTGATGGTAATCTGTCTCTTGACCTGTTGGGTTCATCCATGTTCACTTTATAATACTCATTAAACTGAATATATCTTTTTTTAAGCATTTTTTATTGATTTATAATCATTTTACAATGTTGTGTCAAATTTCAATGTAGAGCACGATTTTTCAGTATACATTTTTTCTCTATGAGCTACCATAAGATCTTGTGTATATTTCCCTGTGCTATACAGTATAATCTTGTTCATCTATTCTACAATTTTGAAATCCCGTCTATCCCTTGAATATATCTGTTTCATGCACTTCTCTAAGTATGTTTTATTTCACAGTTTTAAAGTTACCCAAATAGTAACCTGTAATCTCTATCCTTCTAAATTACAATAAGTTCTCAAGTATGAATGTTACAAAGGATTATGCCAGATAGACACATACAAATTATGAATCATTAATTCTCTTGAAATTTTTCCTTCTTTATGCAAATTGTGTTCCTTGATCTGGAGTGGACTTTCAAGATCATTTAGCTAAATCCCCCAGTTTTAGCATTAAGGAAATTGGGGCCCATCAAGAAGAGATTTGGGTTGAGTGGAGAAATGCATAAATTAAAATCAAAGTATTTAATTGTAAAGCCCAGGAAAGTGAGAAATAAGGAATGAATAATTTACACAGATTTTTAATAAGACATTTTAATTTTTAATTGTGGAACTTGATTTTTAATGACAAATTAAACATACTTTAAAAATTGTTTTTGTAGGATGGCAGGAAATGGAACCATTGCTTTCTCTGCAAAAAGTGTGTGAAGCCTTGTAAGTATTTAAGCTTTAGTGTTTGAGATCTTACGGAAACATTTGTTTTTCTTCAGCTTAACAGGATTTTTATGTAACTATATTTATGAAAGAAAAAATTAATATAGAGACTTGCATTAATTTACTAGCTTTTTAATTTTTACAATTACCAAAACGTATGTGAGAGACATGACTGCTACCCTGTTGCAGTGTGGCATTTCGTTTGGTTTATTTTAACAGGGTTTAGTATCATTGAGCTGGTCCCCATTGTGTTGGTGGCTCTAAGCTCAGGACTCACTGAGGAAGGGCTGAATTTGTTGCCATGAATCAGAAAGAAGTTAGCTGGTTTACATGGGATTCCAACCTTATTACATTGGCCTCTTTGGCCAAATTATAACTAGCTGTGCAAAGCTGTCACAGTATTTGAGGTAAACATTATTCATGCTTCCTTATCATAAAGGTTAATCAAATGAAAAATTATATTAAATGAACCTCTTCTAAAACCTAATTTTTATTTTACAGCTTGGATCCACTGTAACGTTTGCAATCACTGTGCTCTTCCAGATCATTCTTGCGGAGGTCCTAAAGACGGCTGCTTTATTTGTGGTGAATTAGATCATAAACGTAGTACTTGTCCTAACATCTCTACATCTAAGAAAGCTGACAAGTTAGTTGAATTTTTTTGTTTATTAGAAGAAACATTTTCCTTGTGTATTTGTACAGAGCAATCCAAAGAAGTATGCAATAATTGGAGGATTCAGGAGTGCTAAATTAATTGGTGCTTTCCCTATTATGTATTATTTGCATAGATGGGGGAGGGAGGATATGAAGATGAGTCAAAGACCTTAAAATTTTACAGAGAGGACATGAAGATAACCAAAATACAAGGTGGAAAGTGTCTAACTTCCTATATAATATGATTTATATAATACAGTTGTATAATTCGAAGCAAAGTTATACCAATGACAACAGCATACTTAGAAAAACCACTGCTGTTTTCAACTGGGCTAACTCGAATGATTGCACTTTTACCTTTTAAATTAATGGGATGATAGGTACTGTGTCCTCTTGTTTTACTCATGTGAAAACCAGGTATCCAGGTTTAACATTGTATGAAAATTGAGATCAGGATGTAAGTTTTGAGCTATCATATGACTTGTGATGAAGAAAAAACATCTGTTAGTGTTAGGAGTGTCTGATGCTTTAGTAAATACTTACGATTGTGTTAGGATTCTTTTCCATTTATTTGTTTATTTTTGGTTTTTTTGGTCAGTGGAAATTATTTTTTCCATTAAAGCCCAGCCATTTGAATCCTGCCTACTATTTAAAACTGCCTTTTCCATTACTTTTTATCAGATTTACTTTAAATAATTATTTCCACTAAGTAATCCAGGGCAGAAGTGGAATTTTTAAAAATTAATTAAAGAGGTATATTAAAGACTTAGAAAATATTTTTCCTTATGAATCTTCAGGAATAGAATACAACCTAATAAAGTGTTGGTCTGGGTTTGTTGCACTATTTACAGTGTAATTCTGGTTGCAAAAAGGAGTTAGTAACATGCTTAGCCTTTGATTCTGTGATGTTATGACCCATGGAAACTGAATTTGCATTTTGGTAATATATTGTAGGCTCTTCATTGGTTGTTAAATAGCCCTGGCTAGTCTATTTGTTAGTAATACATTGTTTTCATTGAGGGAAATCAGCTAGTATCTTTTAGATTTTTTTCAAGTTTAATTCAAAGAGGAAACCCCTTCAGATGTGGTATACCTGATAATTCTTAAATAGCATTACTTTCTTCTCTCAGAGAAGACGCCTAAACTTCTGTTAACAGTTATCATTAGGTGTTGTTTTCAAAAAATTTTTTTAATGAAATGGACAAGGCAAATTTTTCTTTATAATAGTAAAAAATAATTTTAATAGCTTTTTTTTTTTAGCATATACGGTGTAAAAGAGCTTTTCATCTCAAGTGTTTTATAGTCTTACGATAATTTGTTTTTCTTTGGTATTAATTTTCCTTTGGTTGTGAACTGGAATGATGCTGGCTCCCTCTTGTGGCTAGAGCTCATTTTATCAGTTATACAAATACATATTCTTTAGAGGACAAATACTAGGTCAGTTTAATTTTAAGGCAAAATGAAACAATTGATTTACTCAGTTTATCACTGTTGAAGGACTTTAGCCATCAAGTGATTATACTTCATTAAATTTGCTAAATAATCACTTACCAGGATATTCTCCTGCTTTTAAAAAATGGTTGGAGGGAAAGGAGATTTAAATAACATGCACAAAACAGTATAAAGGTGACTGTTTTGTTTTATTTTGAACTGATGGGATGCCCCAGACCATAGTGCAGAACCTTAAATATGGAAAAGTATAAAGTTGTCAGGCAAAATTATGAATACTAGTCATGTGGAGCTGCTAATAATAGCTAGTAGTTATTTAATGATTACTATATGCTTAGCATTGTACATACGTGAATAATTCATAGTAGAGTACGTAGTATCAAGGGAATTAGAGCACAAGTCCCTGAATCAAGCTGGTTCTGCTTCCTCACTGGATGATTTCATAGCCTCAGTTTCTTAACCTAAAGAAAACTTGAGGGAAAGAAAGGGAAGGGTGACATCTGCTTTTCCAGCTCCCTGAAGTTAAAGATTGTACCCATTCATTTTTGCGTTCCCAACACTCAACATAGATGCTGAGTGAACAGAAAGTGAGGCCTGAGTTTGGTCCACTAGGAGATTATATCTTGGTTACGATGCTTCTTTCCCGGCTTTTGGTCCTGGGAAGATCAAGAAGAAGCTTTTCCTGAGGACCTGTGGTAGTTTAGGAGAAGTGAGTCTAATGGTTGATGTGGCTGGGCAGCCATGGGAGGTGTCCACGTTTGCCGTGCTGGCAGCCTGGCCCATCCCTTTGTTCGTGGTATGGTACATGGCATGATTCTGCTAGCTTGGAGAAAGTGAGTGAACAGACCAGTGATCTTTCTCAGCTGCAGATTGCCTGTAAGTTCAGTGAGCACCAGCAGCAGAGGATCTGTTTTTTTTTCCTGGTGTGGTTTAGTGTTTTTTACAGAGTGAGTTCAAGCTTGTTCATGTTGAAGCTAGTCTTCAAGAAGACAGAGACCACAAAACATGGACATTCTCTATGGCACCTGTCAGGACTTAGATCTCCTGAGGAAGGGAAAATTAGCTTTAGGACTGTAAGACGGGCCTCATTAAGTGTCGTCAGTCTTTCCCATCGTGTTATTTCATTTTTCTACCACTGCTAACTGCCGGTCTTTTTTCTGAAAAATGTAATTCAGGGATTTGGAGGTTGAAGTGCTGCTGAGTTGAGCATTACAGATGTACCAAAACAAACAAACAAACAAACAAAAACCCAAAAAACTATCAACAACAGAAAACCTCCTAACTCACTGACTTGACTATTTACCTCTGTGGTGTATTTGTCCTGAATAGATTGTTCTAAATTTGTAGTAGCCATCTGTCAAAGGAATTTCTTTTCCCAAACATTTTGCTTGGTCAGGCCTCTATCTCCTTGTTATTATGGTTAGGATTCTGAGGATTTATGCGTATAATACAGTACATTCTTTCCGTTCTGTTTTTTTTTTAAATTTGGTTAGCTAGTTAATTAAACTTCAACATAATTACATAATTCACTGTGCTCATTCTACAAAATAATTTAGCACCTTGTTTTTCAGAGCTGTCAGAAAGCAGAAGCAAAGAAAAAGCAATAAGATGAAAATGGAGACCACTAAAGGACAGTCCATGAATCATACATCTGTTACAAGGAGGAAGAAAAGGAGAGAAAGAGCCCATCAATATCTTTGCTCTTAAATGTCCAGTGACTTGAGAATAAGAAAGATTTACAGTCCAACCTTTGATGCCATTTTCTGAAAGTGCCACGCCGGACTTAAATTCTGTAGCTTTCAAAGGTATGCACCTTTCTAAGCTTGAGAACAGGCAAGTGGCATTTGCTGGTTTATAGACCCCCCCAGCAGCCCCTCGGGAGACCTGGGGACCTGTTCCATCCTTAGCTAGTTTACTAGCTCTCTCTGCTTTTCTTCTCTTTAAATCTCTTCCAGTTGTATTGTTTTAGCCTCTTTTATATGAAGAATGGGCATAGAATATTCTTTTGCAGAAAGAAAGAAGAAAATGAAGATGAAAACCTAAAGCTTTGTTTATATTGAACAGAGGAGTAGGTTAAGTTAGATATTTTAAATTAAATATTAAAATACTGTAAAATAGCTTAAGCCCCACTTGTAAAGAGAAATATAATTTTTTAGACAGAATCTGAAGATGATGGAAAGAATTTTGACAAAGGAGTCTAAAGATATAAAGATTATGATTATATTATTATTAAATATTTATTTTTCAAATACTTTTTGCAGTTGTCCTTTGATGGTATAGAATCACCTAAATGTTTGTTGAATGACTGAGGTGTTTAGAATTATGACCTGCTCTGACATCTCAGTGTCTTTTAAGCTAGGCAGTGCTTTTCTCTCTTTGTAAAAGTGGTAGCAGGAGGCAGGATACTTTGGTGATTGGGACTCTTCACTCTAATTTTCACACTTCCTGGTTGTATGTCCTTGGCCAGGTCATTCACTCTCTAGAAGCCCCTAACTCTTCATTATTATAATGGGGACAATAATATTCACACTTGGGTTTGTTTTGTGGTTAAATTAAATGGGGTGCATGTGTCTGGCTCTCAGTTCTCCTGTTACTGGTGAGAAGTGAATCAGATGTCCACGGAGCACTGGTGTTAATCACCGGTCCCTGGGTGGTCCAGGATCATGGTGCTGAAGGGAGTAGTTTGGACAAACAGCTCATCTCCCCATTTCTCTGCTAGGTATCTGACATTATCTGCTTAAGCTTGAATAAAGTCTTGAATGGCTTGCATTTGCATAGTAACTTTTTCTCCTTTTCCTCTGAACACCTGTTTGAGAGCAGGTTTGGAGGCATCTCTCCTTGGGCTTACCCAGAGCCCTGTGAATAAAGGTAGAAGAACTGCCTCCATCTGGTATTGAAATTCCATCTGGTATTTTATGTTAGGGTGGTTTGATGCCTGATGTGGAATACTCAAATGTGGCTCTGGTAGATCAGGTGACATCAAAAGATGAGCTAAGCTTCTAGACTTAACAAGTCTCACAAAACTCTTCTCTTGCCCCTCTTTTAACATGGGTTGCTATAGGAGGGGCAGATTTCCAGGTACATGGATGAGGTATGAACTTTGTAGAATCGTTGTGAGATTCCCCTCTCTGATTGAGGCATACACATGGACATTCCCTGACTATCATGATGTCCATGATATTGTGGTAAAATCTGTTGAAATCTCCCAGAAACTCAGACACTTGGGGGACCATGACTGCTGAAGAATTGAGTTCTGATGGCCAGTGGTCATTATCATCACCATATTTTCTTAGTTTTAAGATACCTTCAGTTGTAGAACACACTACCAATGTAATCATAGCTTTTGGGGAACAAACACCTCTATCTCATTAATGTACATATTAAATTTTAGATGTATCTTATTTCAGAAATACTGAAATGTGAAAAAAAGTCCATCTTAGAATTGAGCATATAGGGTGTTACTTATAATCAGGAATTCTGTACTTTAAAACTTTCTTACTTTCTTAGAGAGTTAAAATAGGAAATTTGGTGGTTCTGATCTTGTGTTCAATTAATACTAATTTTAAGGATTTAACCTCTTTCTTTTCTCAGAGAATAAAGTAGTAGAATGTAAAACTGTCTCTGGAAGGTATACAGTGTGATGGGACAAGAGGTCATGTGTTCTAATCAGAAATCGACATATCTGAACATTAAGATACCTAGTCGAAACAGCAATAGAAGAAAATCCCTGAAATTTGACAGATAAAACTTTCCAACTTTTTTAAAGGACATTTTTCTTAAATAACTACAGCTAAATTTCATCCTACTTCTTGCTTATGTTACAAAATGTAATAAAATACAAAGTTACTTTGTAGGCCTTGAATGATCAGATTTTTTTTTTCCTACATTTAGTCTGAAATTTAGACTAATCTATTTCTCCAGTATGCCCCTATCTTTCATCCCATTCTCTTCTTTTTGTTTGGAATATTTCCCTCCATATGGCCATCATTAAAGTCTTAAGGAGCCTTCAGGCTGTGGCCCAAGCCCCACTCTCTTCTGGGAAGTCCCACATGAGTCCTTGATACCAGCCAGCACCTTCCTCTCTGCACCACATTTGAGGCACTTTTCATGTATTGTTCCGTGATTACATTTACAGATTCTGTTTCTCCAAAAGGTTTCAGCTTCTTACTGTCAGTACCCACTTCGTATTTTATGTCTCTCTTCTGTATTATAGGTGCTCATTAAAAACTTCATGAAAGCGTGAAATTTTCTAGAGATTTTCAGACAGTAGATGTATTTGTTTCTAGGGCTGCCATAACAAAAAATCACAGACAGGGTGGTGAAAACAACAGTTTATTTTCTCACAGTTCTGGAGGCTGGAGGTCCAAGATCCATGTGTTGGCACGTTTGGTTCTTGTGAGTCCTCTCTCCTTAACATGCAGATGGCTGCCTTCCCAGGGTGTCCTCACACGGTCTCTCTTCCATGTATGTCCAAATTTCCTCTTACAATGATACTAGTCACATTGGATTAGGGCCCGCCCTAATGGCCTCCTTTTACCTTTGTCTCCTTTTAAAAGACCCTGTCTCTAAATACAGTCCCATTCTGAGGTACGGGGGGTTATGGCTTCAGCATATGGATTTGGGGAGAAACAGTTCAGTCCCTAACAGTAGGCATGCCCAAGATATGGAGAGGACTTGCTCTTCTCTCTTTCTCAGAAGGACTGGAAGAAAACAAACAATATTGGGAGGAGCTCAGAGCCAATAGGAGGGCAATCCCAACACTGAGGGTTTAAATGTTGGGATGTGTGGTGTGAGCAAGATTGGCAGCCTTATCTGGAGGCTTCTAAACTTAGAATAATTCAGCTTTCAAGGTTACTTTAAGAAAAACACAAAAGTTGCTTTCTGCCCCCTTCAAAACAATCTATAAAATACTAGGCATCTGGGAGAAGTCTGACTGTAGGCAGACCTCAAAGAGATTGTGGATCTGGTTCCAGACTACTGCAGTAAAGCTAATATCTCAGTGAAGGCCATTGCATGAAGTTTTTGGTTTTCCAGTGCATATAAAAGTTATGTTTATACTGCACTGTAGTCTGTTATGTATGTTATGTATGTTATGTATGTAGCCGTAGCATTGTCTTAAAAAAAACCCACACACCTGAATTAAGAAGTACTTTGTTGCTAAAAGATGCTAACCGTCACCTGGTAACACAGTGTTGTCCCAAACCTTCAGTTTGTAAAACACAGTGTCTGTGAAGCATGATTAAACAAGGTGCGCCTATCGTTTTAAAATATAAAATCAGTCTATAAAAGGTCTGGTCTGATGCCACCTCCTGCACGATGTCCTTGTCGGTGTCCCCAGTGGAATAGTGCATCTCCTGCCAGTGAAATAAAAATAGGCATGTGTTTGTGTGTCTTTCTATTTCAGTTTCTTTTCAGGTACTTAGATCAAGCCCTGTGTTAGAACTTCTTGTGCTTGTTTCCCTGTGTAGATTAGAAGCTCGCCGATCGCAGGGGGCTGTGGATGGACATCCCTGTGAGCGTCCACTGGCTCCCAGGCTGTGTCTTGCCCACGGTGATATCAGGGTCGACCCGCTGCAGTACTCATGGCCCCATCCCTCCTCCCACCACCCTGGGAAGCAGGTGCTGGGTCTAACTCCGTTCTCCACCCTCCAGGTAGAAGCTGCTCATAAATACAGATGGAGTGATTAGAAATGGCCATTTAGGCCTCCAGACCCAACTGTGCTACCTGATAGTAAGATGCTGACACACGTACAGCTGCCTAAGGAAGGAAAGCTCAAATAGAAGGCAAAGGAAAATCCATCTTGACTGCTTTGATTTTAATTGGAACATTAGGACATGGGTTACGTTACTTGAGGGTCAGTCAGGTCATCACTGCAATGAAGTGAACATAAGACCCCTACTATTTGATTTCAGGAGATTTAGTATAAATGTTAACTCAGCAAGACTGAGGGCAAAAAGCACCAAAAGTGAACAAGCAGATCTCAGGGATCTGAGGGGTGAGTTTTATCCTATTAGCTGGACAGTCACAGACTCTCCTACTGTTGTGTTGTTTGATGCCCCTGCAGACTGGAAGTGTGACATTGGTGGTCTCTAAGAAACTCAGCCTGAATAGACAAGGCCAGTTTCTTCATCTGCAAATGTGGAGGAGAGGAGTGGGAGAAAACTAGAGATAGCCTAAATATTCTGCATGCTTACAGAGGACAAAAGTAAACAAAAGTTACTGCCTATTAACTTTACAATTAGTACGCGGGCTAGGTGAAATCACAGAAAATGAAAAGTTACTCTTAACACCACCACTCAGGTAACCACTGTCACAGCTGACATGTAGGTTCTTCCAAAGGTAGATTCTTGTATAAATGGCTAGACAGTCTGAAATTTCCCCCACAAAAATGGAATTCTAAAAACATCCTGTTTTGTAATCCTCTCTCATAAACATGTCATGAACATCAATTTATACCTAAAACCATAGTAGTATTCTTCAGGATGTACTGTATTTAATCAGTCAGCCTCCTATGGTTGGACAATTAAGTTTTGTTCACTATTGTAAATGAGTCTATGATAAACATACTTAGAACCAAATCTGATTTCCTTAGGATGAATTCCTATACATATAAATACTAGTTCTGTAGCTCTTAGTAGAACTTTTTTCCTTCCCAGATAGGAATCACATGAGTTGGTCTCTGAACAGCAACAGAAGTGGTCACGGGAGACAAGCAAAACACGAACTGATACAGTTGAGACCCATATCTCCCAAATGTACTTCGTACCTAAAACTACCCTTTGAGTAGTAATGATTGATTGCCTTATTGAATATTATTGATGGCTTGCTTCGCCACCATCATTTCCAACCTCTCCTTTGTGTGTCTGCTGTGGGATTTGGGGGAGAGTAGGCTGACATCCTCTCTTGTTCTTTTTTCTTTTTCTTTAACTGGAGGTACTGGGGATTGAACCCAGCGCCTCATGCATGCTAAGCATGTGCTCTACCCCTGAGCTATACCCAAGTCTCCCTCTCTGCTCTTAGGGAGGACTTTTTATGGGGCATAATTCCATCCCCTTTAACTGTGGTTGATTTCAGTGAGGCTCAGAATAGGGGCTGGTCTAATCACATGAGGCTCAGCACTTTAGTCATGTGATTGGTGAAGGGGCTCTTGGTCTTCCTCTGAATGAGGAAGCCTGTAGCTCCAGGTGCTGTTGGTAGTCTTCCAGTGACCACAAGGGGAGGCAGCCTTGTGGTGATGCACACCCTGAGCTGGGTCCCCGGTGACACCGAGGACACCGAGTTGCTGGATCTAGCCTGCCCTGAAGCTGGCCCTACTGCCGGACTTGTGATTTACTTGAGCCAATACATTCTAGTTATTACTTGTGCCACTTTGAGTTGGATTTTTTCTGTGGCCTAATGAATGCAACCATGGTAAGGTAGAGAGATTCCAACACTACCACTGATTTCTTTTTCCAGAAAATTCAGTCAATTTGTTTATTTTGTGTGTTTCACTTATTTTATGACTTCAAAATAGACCCCTCAAATTAACAGTCTTTCACACGGCTTAGATTAGTCACACCCCACAAAACTCCAACTTCCATCTCTGTATACTGAGTCCCACATCTTTGCTCAGGCCCTGACCTTTGCTCTTCAAACCTGCCTTCCCAGCTGCCTTTGGCCGTCACAGATAGATTTCTACACCCACCTCCACCTGAACATGGTCCTCACTACACCCCTTCATTCTGGTCTGCTCTCCCTGTCTCCCCCCTCATACTTCCCTCATACCCCACCACACCTAACGGCAACCAGTTCTCTGCTACCTGAGTCTGCGCACCCACATATACAACCTCAGTCTTGACGATGCCCTTGCCTTCATTCTCCCAATCTGATCAATAATCCGTTCTTGGTATTCTACTTCAGAAATGTGTCTGGAATTGCCTCCCACACCCCCACCCCCTTGCCCAACTAGTCTTCCTGCCATGTTTACACCTTCAGTCAGTCCTTCCTTTCTAACCCAACATCAGCCTCATCACAAGAATTAAGGTCCTGAATAACCAGTGAACCAATGTGACGCTGTCACCAACATGCCCCTCTGCAAATTATAAATCTCTGTTGGCAGCTGCCGGGCCCTTCAAAATCCAACCCCATGTCATTATAACACGTGGAAAGATGCCATCAGCATGAGCTAGCCCAAGGGGTCTAGTGATTAAAGAAACAGCCTAGCTACCAAAAAGTTATTTCAAACCAGCTAGTTTTTGCACTTTCCCCCAAGCACTAGGAAGAGGTGAGACACAGCATAGGAATTCTTAAAGTCTGTTTTCTCTTCATTTCCCTCCCCACTTCCCCACTTCCCAGTCTCTGTACATTTATACCTCCTGCCCTTGCCTCCTTAAAAACCACCCATGCCTGATCCCTGGGCCTTTCCCCCCCTTCCCTCTAGATTCTGTGCCACAGAAGCGCAAGTAAACCAGTTTGACAAAGCAGTGTTTTCCTTAGAGAATGGGGAGAGCAAGGAAACGGAGTGGGTAAAGCCAAAAATCTCCTTTATGGGACAGTATGAAAAAGAAAAGGCTGGAAACACTGTGTTCATAGCTCTTGTCCTATGGCTGCTTTGAAACCTTTCCAGTAACAGTCATTCCCACTGACACAAACGAGGTGCTTTGGCCACATAAAATTATTTGTAGTGTCCTGGCCACATCTGCAACTCCACACCTATGCTGTTTCCTGTGTTATACATACTTTGTGGGAAATTCATACTCTTCTGTGAAGGTTTCATAATAGGCAAGTAGTTGTTCTCTGTCTCCTAGCAGTGAGTGTATAGCTCTAACAACAGTCCTTTTCATGTGTTATATGAAGGTTCATATTCAAGGACACAGTTGAGAAAAATGGGCATTCAGTTTTGATAAGACTGTTAAGCAGCTAGATATTAGTCCCCCACCATTTAGATTATCTATTGCCGCCTGTTGGAGGATGGGGAAGGTGTCTTGAGACGGGAAAACGAGGCAGGCAGCTCTGTATCATCAATGGATCTGATTATTTTAGAGAAACTTACAGGGTGGGATCCGGTGGACAATGATCTGGAAGCATCTGCAGCTGCACTTAGCACCTCGGAGGGGCCACTGGGACAATTTTATAGTTCACCTAGAGAAACAGGAAGTGCATTCCTAAGTGAAGATTTATGAGTGGGTAACTAGTCTTGTGAGTGCCAAAATTAAGTCAGGGAAGGTCTTCATCATTGGGGACCAACAGAGCATAAAGGCCACCTGGTCCTAATGATTATTAACCAATATCTATTAGCTACAAAGCCGTTAAGGACAGAGAAGTGATTTACCACACATCACAGTCCTAGGTAAGGTCAGTGGAAGGACAGGAGGAACTGTACTCGCCCAAGGTGGCGATAGTTATGCTAGCAACCATATACCACCCCAGAACGTTAAATAATGATCCAAAATGCATTTCATGATAACAAAGGCAAGGCCATTCTCACTTTAGAATACTGCTTCTGTAAGAATCTGGGAGACGTGCTAAATTGTTTGCAGCAAACTCAAGGGAAAAAGCCAGGCTCTCAAAGGGAGCAGGGTGAGTATCAAGGGTTACAAACAGTGCCTGGCGGAAAGCAGTGCTCGAATATTTGCTGCTGAACGAATTAGTCTACCTCTATCACCCACCTCCCAGCGGCTACATCCAGATAGAAGGCGGGAAGGTGCGGCATGTTGAAAGTTGAAGATCCCGCCGCCTTTCTCCTCTGAACAAGTGAAAGAAGTGAGAGGTATAGATGACTTTCTACCACAGATTTTAAGTTCAAAATGATACTCTCACATTCTCTTACCCTGGTTGTGGGACTTTTGAACAAGTTAACACATTTAAATGTGTCTGTAGCGAGAAGCATCAGATGGATTCTGGTTGACGTCCTGTCAGGCTGACTGAGCCCATGTCCTGTGCATCTGTGAAGCGCATTCCTTCGTACAGTAGATGCTCCAATAGCTATGGGACAAATCCTGGGTGAGCTCACGGTCCTCATTCATTATGGTGGGACTGCTACTACCAAATAGTTGGGAGGCTTAAACGGGATAAAGAATCAAGATATTTGTCTGTGTCGGACGTTTTAGAGCAGGGCTCTCCTTCCTTGGCTGCAAATTGGAAGCACTTTAGAGCGTTTTAATAAATACTGGGTCCCATCCTGTATTACTTCTCATTTAATCGGTCAGGGGTTTTGCCTGGGCAGGAGGGTTTTGAAAAAAACAAAACAAAACACCTTCCCACTGGTGGTGGAGCCGCCAGGGCTGAGGACCGGAGGTCCAGAGACTGCCGAAG